AATCGCCAAGTAGCTGGGGTTGGAAAAGACGTCTGGAGGTCATCTGGTCTAACCTCCCTGCTCAAGCAGGGTCAGCAAGAACAGGTTGCCCAGGACTGTGTCCCGTCAGATTTTGAGTATCACCATGGAGACTCCACAACTTCTCTGGGCAACCTGTTCCAGTGTTCAGCCACCTTTACAGTAAAAAAAGTGTTTTCTTATTTTGAGATAGAATATCCCATATTTGGATTTGCGCCCATTGCCTCTTGTCCTGTCACTAGGCACCACGGAGAAGAGTTTAGCTCCATCTTCTCCCCCCACCCCCATTTATACACATTGATAAGATCCTCCTGAGATTTCTCTTCTCCAGGCTGAACAGTCCCTGTTCTCTCAGCCTCTCCTCATATGAGGGATGCCTAGCTCCTTAATCATCTTTGTGGCCATTTGCTGGACTCACTCGAGCAGGTTCATGTCTTTCATGCATCAGGGAGCGCAGATTTGGACCACCAGAGTTAACAGCAGGGAACAGCTTCTTCCTAGGAACACTCTGTGGAGTTCAAACCTCCTCTGTGAAGAACGTGTGATTTCTGCAGTTTTCTGATCAGCCTCGTATTCCACTTAGGACCAGTACTGGAATTTAGCCTTAAGAAGCAGGTAACTTGATCCCAGGAGAGGGAAGCGGGCAGGGCTTCTCTTTGAACTGCCTGGGATTAGTTCTGGCACAAGTTCAAGCCTGGGAGCCAATGCCAGCTCATTGGAATTACTTAGCCCCATTAAAGTCAGGATTTGCTTCAGGTGTGACACTGAGTAACAAACTACTAATAAAATACACTGCATGCACATATAGCTATTATGTTTTCTACAGAAATGCTATAGGCAATGGAATTCTTTTTCTGAGGTACAATTTCATTTCTGTTCTTTTTCTTTTTTCTCTTAAACATATTTTCTCCAAGGAGATGTTCAAGACAACTCTCTATTTTGCTGAATCTGCACTTCCTAGTTTTGATTCTAACTGTGTTGACAGCTGACAAAGTACACATTTCTTTTGCATCTCACCCAGCCAAGTGACAGCCACTGATCTGGGAAAAGAGAACTCAAGCCCTCCTTTGCATCACTCTGAACAGAGAGTTTTGGAGAGGTCCACTTCAAACCCAAGATTTTCTCCTGAGGCCAAGGGACCTGAGAAGTGCAAATGCCCTTTGACATTCAGGGACCCACAATCAAGTTGTTAGAACACTACAGGACAGGCACACAGCTACACTACTGGCGGAAATACAAACATGCACAGGGACAGTAAGTACTGCCTCGAACTATCAAGTATTTCAAAAAGCCTTCTGAAGGTGGTAAGGTAAAATTGTGAAAGCCTAGGAGAAAAGTCCTAAATTCTTCTAAAGGCCACTGAGAAGGAATTCCATGACTGGCTCAGGTGTTTTCCAGTGCAGAGGATTGTAGGATTTACCCCAGAAGTCCTACCATCAGAAAAGTCCTACTGGGACCCAGTCAGCTCTGTTGTTATTTTTTCCCTTTGCTCACTTTCCATCACCTCCCCTGGCTAATTTAAAGGCAGAAACCCAAGTTTATCTGCAGCGCAGGCAAAGCCTTAATGAACAAGCAGAGGGAAAATATGCAAGAATCCAACTTAATATCCAATAGCATATATATGTGATTGATGGCTCCTATGTGGCACTTACCCTCTGCTTATTTCTCAGGGCTGCAACTTATTAACAATATTAACTTTTCTGATGAAATATCATCATCATGTGTATACATCCCTGACAGGCATTAATTGCAGACAATGCCTTTAATCAGCAATTGAACATTAATAAACATAGACCTTGAGAATTAACATAATGAGACACTTGTACTTAATCACTAAAGAGTACTTCTCATAAAGAAAAACCTTTCCTTTTGTTCCTAAAAAGGTCAAAGTCTTCTTTTCTTTTCTATTTGACGAGGAGAAAAAACGCACATAGTGGAGCATATCTAAGCCGCTTTATGTGGCTTAAATTATTTCCATCCATGCGTAAAAAACATTCCTTTTCAGAGATGTTCACCAAGTTTTTGTATGTGATCTATAGCTCCCAGAGCCTCTGTTCCTTAAATTATTAGGTTAGTTGCTGAAAGCGGCAATCAAGTTTTACTGTTAATCTTAAATGCTAATCCTTTTTATTGACTTCCTAGTCAATAAACTCATAGCCCTAAAACTACTTTCAGGTTTACTTGCGTAACAAGACAGTTTGTGTGTACCTGTGTGTGTGTTTGAAGCTGCTAATTTCCTTGCTGAAGTAAGTTGCACTTGCAGGTTAAAACTATAAAGCAATTTGCTTTATCTCCTTCCACAGGGTCCTGCTTCCACTGAAATCAGAACAAGGCTTGAGCTGAAAGGACTCAGGGAGTAAGGTCAGGACCCTCATCTGGTCACAGCCTACGGAGGGCTGTTACAGGGAGTAAACCTTGCTGATGAACAGGCAGGATAAGGAGAGAGATTTCTGCTTTTTAGAAACCAGCGGATACAGTCCTGCCCCTACTTTTGAATTAAAATCTAACCCAGAGAACTAAAGAATAGCTAAGCATCCCAAACATTTATCATTCCTCAGCTCTAGCCAAAGAAAAGGGAATGGAGGACATGCAAGATGCCTCAGACTACTTTTAGCTGCTGTGCATCAGTCTGGCTGAATTCAGTAGCGTGCAAGCCTTGCTCTCAAGTCTCTTCTTACTCATGCCAGTATCTAGCAGCGTGGGACTCCCCAGGAGCCCCCAGCGCTACCTCAACACAAAGAGGGCACAGTATGGGAGAAGGAAAGCAGGCCTGCTCTCAGCTTATGTGCTGTGTCAAACTCTAAAATATAAATAGTTCTGAGCAGCAGGGGGAACGTGAAGGCTTCCTTGGGCTTGTAAGCTGTGGTGGGATTTTCTTGTGCCGAGGCGTATGCAGGCTCTGACTGAAGCTCTTCCCACTGGCGGGGGGCGTGCAGGCGGGTTCCCGGAGAGAAGCCTTCCCTCCGCAGCAGCGTTACTGCTGCTTCTCTTTGCCCATCAACAATTTCATGAACTCTGCCAGAATTAAAATCTTTGCTATTCACAGCCTCTGCTCAAGCTTAGCGGAGACCAGCCCGTCGGTTCAAAAGTCATTAGGAGGAAAATTTTCCCCTCCCTCCCTAAGCATAAGCATTTTTCCTCTGACTAGCCCTCTTTTCCGAGAGCCTCAGGCCGGCGAGCCGAGGGAGCTGCTCTCCAAGCCCCGCTTGTGTCAGGCGGCTATAAACATCCGAGCACTTCTCACAGCTCTCAGGTAGTAGAGGGCAGTGTTCCCCGCACGCACAAGCCAGGACGCGTTACAACTCACAGCCTCACACTTGTGATCAGGTTTCAGGTGGGCCCGTTCCCCGCCTGCTCTTTACATGTACAGGCAGTTTCATGCTCTTAACATTTCCCAGAAATTCAAAGTGACAGAACCGGAGGTATTGCAATCTGGAACTCTTAACTTTAGTAAACTGGTGAGAATACTGGAATGTGCATGTTCCTTATTTAACTACTCCACTAGCTTTTCTTATATACTGCTCGGCACAGCCGTTCAGGATACATATTAGACAACTAACATCTGGACTGAATATCTATTAGGACCATATGCTCTACTCAGCTACAGCATCATGTTGGAGATTGGGGAAATCCAAACCAAATGGAGATATCAGAAACTTTCAAGGGTCAAAAATAAAGTCATTTTGGTTTTCCCAGCCCTGATGGATATGGTATACTGGCCTGTGCTCTGTGCCTCATGCGAACGTCTCCTTGCAGAAATAACCTGACTTTAAAAATGAGAAACAACTTGAGTATTGTGGTTGAAAACAGATAGATCTCAATGATTTTTCCCCCAGTAAAGTTTCAAGTGAGACAGTGCTGAACGTCTCTGTCTTCTAAACGAGATTGAACAGTAAGAGACCCAACCTTTGCTTTCCTGCAGAGGCGTTATGATGCTGTTTTCGGTGTGGGTGTGATGGTCTCCAGTTTCACCCCAACAGCTTCTCTTGGTTTACAGCTGAAAAGGCTACCTGTGCCCTAACCGGCCATGCATGGGAATGCACCGCTTACCTAAACAAAAGCAAGCATTTAAACGCCATAAAAGCCCCTCCTGGTCCCTGATGGAGCACAGCCTGCCTCCCTCGCTGCTGAATGAGGAACTGAGAGCGCCGAGCAGCAAAAATAATTTTGTACACGAAAAGAGGAAGGTAGAAAGAGTCCCTTTAACCAGCTTTGAAACCTGATCAGGAAGAAACAGATTCCCACAGTCTCACAAATATCTCGTATAGGGAGAGACATCTCAATGTGTTTACAGCGTTACAGGTAAAGACCTTCATCACCAGAGGCCAGCAATCGCCTTTAGATAAGCGCATTATTTGTACCTACCCTAATTTCCTGTGACCAAGTCAGGGGAAACAATGATTTGCTTGAGGCAAGGAGCAAGGTGGAATTCAGGCAGAACTTAATTCTTTGGCTTCTTCGTGCTATTACCATTTCAAATGAATGTATTTTTGAGCAATGCACTTGTCAAAGGTGTCTCAGGCCCCAGATAAAGGGGAATTCCCCTGGCTTAGCTGGGGCACAAAGAGAACCATTGCCTGCTGTAAATCCTAACTATCCCCCTAGTTCAAAACGGCAACCCTCCCCAAAACCACAAAATAACAAACCCAAAACAATTTTGCAGGAGAAAACAGTTCCACTTTCCACTATCATTTTTTGCGACAAAATGAATTAAGTAAGAGTTAAAAAAATCCTATTTTAAGAAAAACATGAGATAAAATCCTGAACATTCCTCTTTAAGAAGCCCTCTTATTTTCTTAATGTTTTAGACATGGATCAACACAACAAGGGTAGAAGAAAAGGAGCATACATAGAGTGGGTGCCTCTGGTCAGGAGGAGGTGAACCGGATGAGCAGACAGCAAGGATATGGATGGCTGGAGTGGTAGAAATGGGCTGGAATTGAACAGGACAATGTGCCAGATCTTACGTTTCCAGGACTTACTTATCTTATGTTTCCAGTGCTTCTGCTACGCCCTGGGAACCAGCTAACTGAGAATGACAGTGAACAAGAAAGGCCTGGAGGTATTAGTTGATCACAAGACGAGCCTGAGTCACCAGCATGATGTGGCCTTGGGAAAGGAAGAAGTCCAATTACGGATCAAGTCAGGTAATTCCACCAGGCGCAAGGCAGTAGTAACAGCCTTGTTCAAGGCCAGGAGACCTCACCAGGAGCTCAGCAAACTCTCCTCACCACCCACACTGAGCAAAGACAAAACAGACAGAGAGAGAGGCTACTAGGGTGATCAGGGAAATGCAGATCCTGAGGATCTTGGCTGGTTTAGTCAACAAAATGAAGGCAGAGGGGGAACATCATTGTGTTTGTCAATTCATGGGAAAGTAAAAGGAAACGGCAAAACAAGCATCATGGAGGGAAATTCTTTTAACTGTCATGTCAAAAGATATATAACAGCAAGTGCTTAACTAGCCAAAAAGAAACATTAATTGTTCCTTTAGGGTGCTAAACTGAACTATGGTCTTTCAGCCAGAGAAAAAAATATAAGGCTTGATAATCCTCACAAAGCATTAACATCCCAATGAAGTCAACAACAAGTAATTGAACTCCTGCCCTCCGTCCCTGTGACTGGCTGCCTGCGGATTCAAGCAGATGTTTCTGGATTCCTTGTATTTAATTCCTTTTGGAAGCTTTTTTTTTTTTTTTTTAAACTGCAAGGTCTAGAGACTTCTTTTTCTTCAGATGAAAGATTAGATTCTGACAGTTCTGAGTACATATGTGGGCTGATCTGGCCTATGGGCCGTATGTTTGACACCTCTAGGATACTGTGTTATTGTACCCGGGGGAGGTGACGGGGACTTATTTATAGAGACAGTGTCTGTCAGGGGAAGTTATAAGTGTGATTTGTGTGGGTTAAAATAGGAAGAGAATGTACTCTCTTAAGTGGACACTCCCTTGATTTTAGGCACCGTCTGGGTGAGCACTCTTAAGGAATCTGAACCATTTTCAATTTATTATTTTTTTGTGGGAACAAGTGATATTTTTAGATTCTTCAACTATATTTTTAAATTTAGAGAAATGATAAGTCCAGAGACTTCTGGGACACTTGAATCTAACCTGTCATCTGTGCCTTGCACAGCTGCAGACACTACTGCAGAGTTAGTGCAAAACACTAGCTCCTTGCGGGGCAGTGCTCAGCACCCGCTTGGCACAAGGGCAACTCGGAATCAGGGCTACTGAGTTGTCAGTCTTCCTAACCCACCAAAGCACAACAAGCCAGACCCTCTCTTGCCTGTTAGGTGCTCTCCCTTCCTGCCACAGAGATATTAAAATATACTCAAGGCCCTGCACAAGTCTGATGCGATAACATTAGCCTCAATACCCTTTCATTTCTTTTTCTCACATCGTCTTTTAAACCATGTAAGCTCCTAAAGCAGGGATGTCACCCACATCAGTGGCTAGGTTCCCCATCATTAATGAGCAGCGTGGCACTGATGCAAGAACTGGCATAGGAAGTCCTTAAACCGCTACCGTCATGCATGGTTCGTAGTCTTTCTGTAAGCAACCACCCACTCAGCAGGGTCTGAGACAAGGCGCAGGGCTAGACAGACCTTCAGTCTGACCTCCTGAGGCGCTTCTTCTGGACTGATGCTCACCTTCTTCTGGACTGATGCTCAGCCCCAATAATCCTGCCCACCACTGAGCCAAACGACTTCTTCTTCCAGGATGCCTTGATATGAAACAAAAAAACCACACTGGATTAAAGAGAAGGAAAACACCTCTTGTTGACTTCATGACAGGGGCATGGGGTTTCACAGTCTCACTGAATCTGTTCCTTCTCTATTGCAAATTATTTGAGAAAGAAAGTTTCTTGATATTAGCATCTCACATATCACCAAGCAGCTTACTGGTGCTTGAGAAATAGCAAAAAAAAACCAAAAAAAACCCCACCAACCTTTCTTGCAGGGTATAAGTACATAAGATTTAAAGTAGCCAATGAAGTTTCCAGACTTCTAACACTTCAAACAGAAGAGCTCCAACAGTAAGCACACAGCTTAAAAAACTTTAATCAAATGCACTAGTTCACAGCAAGAGCAAGTAGATAAAACAGATGCAAGATTTCCAGACCAAGTCATTTTCACATATGGTAACACCATCCTCTCTTGGGGGAAACCAGCGATAGTGAACAATGAAAACACCCTTATTTTAAAAAATTCCTTAGTATGTCCAAAATGCCATCTCTGTTTAATCTCAAACTTGCAAAAAACAATCCTCTTGGTTAGGAGTCTAGTAAAAAAACCCACCCCAACATCCCCACCCCCCGCAACCTACTAGCGTTGCTGTTAACATAAGCGAGGGCAAGTGAAATTGTTGGAGAAGCCTGCGTCAGAGTCCGATGTCTAACAGAGGAGAGTGGAAGAGCATCCTTAAATGTGGAGTCCAGGCTGCATTACTGCAACGCCGCAGTTCCCTAATGCTCCACCAGGAAGTGGCAATAGAGCCGGGACCTCCTGCAACCTCTGGAGGTTGCATTTATAAAATCGAATTTCAGTTGTTACTGGCTATTCATATTCTCTCTCTCATGCGTACACATCCACATCAGCAGTAATGTTCATTTAAAGCTAGCACTGTCCGGATCCCCTTCCTCACAGCCAGCTGATTAAGTACTGTTTTCAGTGAAACAGACAGTGTTTAGTGCAAAATCAGAAAAATAATGGATTGGTTTCTCAGGTACTCAAAGCAGCACAGCAGCACGGGGTTGGGTGAGATTTTTGTTTCACATCTGCTGAAAATCTGATTCTTAGGCTGCTTTGGCCTGCAGAGTTTAAAACAGAGGGGACACAACTTCTCACGTACTACAGCAAGTCACCTGATGGTGGTGAAGTCAGGAAAAGTCCAGTCCCTGGGGCACTTTGGCTGTCTTACACCCCACATTTTGACCACCCAGTCGGAAACAACACTGGTGATTTCTTGGCTTAAATGGCTGGTGCAGTTTGCAGGCAAGATCATACCCTCAGCCGGCGTAACCTGGTGTAGCCATGTCGGCTCCGGGGAGAGGTGGTTCAGGACACCGAGGTGAGAATCTGGCCCCGGAGGCGGTGGCTACAGGGCAGCAGGAGCACCGCGAGCCAGCGAATACAAACTCCTCGCACAATGCATCATCGGGACCATCACGCAGCTCTCCAGGCTGCCGATCAGTAACAACTAAATCCAGAGCTCCTCCTGAAACTGAAACAATATCAGCCTTGAGCAAACAGTTGTCCAAAATGAAAATTCATCCCGTGCTAAATTTAACCAGGTTGCATGACAGCACATATGTGTTGATTTCAGTGAGGTTTCTGAGGCATGAGGGAGATCATAAATAGGCCCTAACATCTGAGAAAACGAGACAGAAAGCATAGTTTTGCTTTCCGTTACACTTTTGTTTAGAATTCAGCTTGGTATCTTCTCTTCCTTAAACGTTTTGGCATGCAGTTTAATTATTAGCACAGTTTCTCCTTCAAAGGCAATAAAAAGCAGAAACAGTCATTTTTCTTTCAGTATCGTTCACAAATTAATTGAACAAAAAATTATTTGCAAGTTTTTAACTTTTGCAAACTTTGGGAGCCTGGCTGCCGACATCCTGAGCATCACAAGCTCCCTGCGTGCTTGTTCTGCCTGATGTCAGACAGCCACCACTCAAACAATTGCCCAGACAACGCAGACGTTGAAGGGCACAAAGCCCAAGCCTACAGGCTTCCTGTGACCAGGGGATCTGAACTTAGGCGAGACCAAGACTGCTGGGCTGTGGCTGGACAATAGCGCGCAGCTAAGCATGCACATCCACGCAGAGCAGCAAAAACGGGCTGATGGACAGCAGGTGCTACAATGGCACTTTAAATACATTTAATGTATACCATTACTAGAAAATAGGATCCATGCCAGGACTCCACATTCCCATCTTGACCAGCGTGTGTCTGTGCATGCACGTGCATTTTTGTTCACTTACAGATAATAGAAAAAATAATTTTCATTATGTTTATAGCAAGACTGGATTTAAGCCAAAAGTGAATTAGGTCTTGATCTCAGTCAAAGGAGACATGCTAGCAAGTCTGGCAGTCACAGGAAAGGGAGAATACTCAAGTACTGGTGAAATGACATACAGTTAATTTTAAGCTATACTCTGCTGTTCTGCATTATGCTAGTGGATATATGGCGTGTCTCAGTAGTCTCAGTGGCTGATTTCATCTTGTTATTTGCAAAAAACATCGACTAAGTTCAATTTTGCAAGTACTTCATCCACCACACACGAACACGATAGCAGTTTTGCAAACTCACACGTGTGCTGAGCATTGGGTACACAGCACATAAATATTTTCAGAATCTCAGCCCTGGGTGGGTGAGCAGCCGCGGCTGTGACCCTGCTGCTCCCACCCGGGCCACGGGCGCAGGGGCTGCGGGTAAAAGATTGAGCCTGATTCTCCACTGCTCTGTAATGCCGTGCCGCTCTGAGGCACAGCAGAGTGAGGCTTATCGATTCCCTGCAGGTGCATGTGGGTGTCCTCGGCCCACCTCCGGCCCCGCTAACGGGGGAGTGAACGCGGAGCAGCGGAGCAGCGGCCGCGCCCCAACGAGCACGGGGGGATTTCACCCGCATCCTCACCACCGTCTTGGGCAGCAAACGTCCCAGCTAGGACTGATCCCAGCTTCCAGGTAGAGGGAAAGCTCTCTTTTTTTTTTTTTTAAAGTCATTTATCTGACTTCATTTCTGAAACTGACTGAGTAGAAGAGGAAGAGAAAAAGAGCAATTTTGAGGGCAATTGCAGCACACTGTTTTATCGCTGCGATTTCCCCCAAACCTACTGAATTGTTTGAAAATAGGAAGCACTGTGAAGTCTTTGCCATCTACAAGTTTGCTTTTCCTCAAGCCTAGAAGAAGCAAAATCTGTAAAAAACTTAAAAAGTAAAAAAGTACTCCTAATAAATGACTAATTATCATGAAAATGTGCATCTGATTCATTCCCCTCAAGAATCATTCCCCTGATTCTTCTCTTGTTTCGTTAGAAAGCAATGACAAATGGGAAATGCTGCAATATGTTTTCTCTCCTATTGTACAGCAGTTCTGGAGGAGCCGTGAACTAGGTGACTAATGCAAAGTCAGTTCCTCTCAGGAGTGATGGAGCGCTGGGGTAGTACATAAATATTGGCAAACCACTTCCTCTTTTCCCCTTTGTCTCACTTAACAT